TATGAAGACATATATGGAAATAGTCTACTTGGAACAATTGTGTGTCTGATTTGTTTTTTCCACAAAAACGTATAATTTCCACAATAAAAAAGTAATCTACTTCTTCTACCTCATAAAAAATAGGTTCCAGAACCTATGCATATGCAAACATTTTTTTCTTAATTTCTAAAGTTTTCCTGCTGACACAAAATGTCTCCTACTTCATTGTAAAGTCCATTTTTAGGGTATCTGCACTGGTAGTTTCAGGTTTCTACATCACACTTGCATAATGGACCACGGTTGATTAAACTTGTGATGTCACAAATCATGCTTGTAGGCCTTGCCCCTTAAAATCAGATTTTCAATGAGCACAGAGAAACTTGCCACTTTCAGCAGATGAATGTGAAAACATCCTTTTAGTGTCAAATTCTGCACAGACATCATTCTGTACAGTGAAGATCAAAAATCACACTGTAGGAAGAAGAAGAGAAACATATTGTAGCGGAGGGGGACTTTAATTATTGCGCATTTCTGTATATTTCCAGCATGTAGAGGTGGAACAGTCACCGTCCTAATGTCTGAGCATTGTTGACATCTTGTCCATGTTGAATTAAAAGTTGAGTTGAAGGTATGTTAACCATGGAAAAATACATTAACAAAAAAGAACATTTTAGCAAAAGACCCCCTTACTGCCATTAGTGAATTCTTTAAGCATCCAAAAAGGTATCCATTTTGTAGCATTGTTTAAATAATACGGTAAACAAATACTACAGAGCCACTAAAAGGCCTTCACTAAATAAAAAGATACTGAGACTGAATTAACATTTGTCTACTTTTAATTACATCAAATGCAGTACTCTACTGAATTAAAAAAGTGGTTCTCGGTCCGGGATTCAGGGACTGCCAATGGCCCCTTCCTGTTACTGTGATTGTCACTGGGCTACGTAAGCATTATGACCTGGGATCAAATGTGCCTGGCCCTGTCACCCCGCTTTATTTTCCCCGACCTATACATATACCATATGTATAGGTAGTATAGGACCTATACTATACTGACCCAATGTCAGACTCCAGTAGACTGCAACATGTGTGCATTTTCTTTTACCTTATAACTCAGTCAGTACCTGTCTCATTCCCTGCCACAATAGTAATTAAGTTTGCCGTTACTTACTTTTTGCTAATATACATTTAATTTGCATAAAATTCTACTTCCATTGTGACAGTGAAAACAATACAAGTTGATTCACTTTAAAATATCTTTAAACATGAACATTGAGTCTTAGGCAGGAATTCCACACGTGGAATTAAAAAATCCCTGGAAATTTAGAGACTCATTTTCTAGTCATGGAAACACCTGGAAATCGATTAAAATGACCAAATATTATCCTGGAAATGTTTTATTGTATTTTAGGCTCTCAGATCATCTACATAAAACTGTGTGTGTATTGTGTTTGAAACTCCTCTGTTGGTAGCATAAGCTGAACGGTATGACACTTCAAAGTGGGTTTACCAGACGCGGAATGGAACAGAAAAAACATTTCACACGCTCCCTTTTCATTTCAGCCATGTCAGTCAATTTGGCTGTTCACACCAGAAAGGACTTACAGCGACCTTTTCCGCATCACAATGAACCTGAAACATTTTATCATGAACCCTGCATAATAAAAGCAGGAGGCATAAAACTAGACTTAATGTTGATGCAGGTCCTACCCGTAAATGATATATATTACATTTGAGCTGTGCTGTTCTGAATTGTCTACTGGAAAATGTATGGTACGCTTTACTGTTAGCTTTTACAATAGTTACAATAATTAATTACAATAATCTGTGCCAATGAATGTTCTTAATCAAATCAAAAGGAAAGTATTGTATTTTAAACATTCAACACTTTTTTGCAACAACAGTATGGTAACTATTAGCTAGCATTAGCTTAAAGAGTAGCTAAATGTTTACACATTTTTAAACCTTTGAACTCCGTCATTTCTCTTACATTTCCTCTGGAATTAACAATGCATTTTTGGAAATACATTTATTAGTTTTCTTGCCGAGAGTTGAATGAGTCCATTCAGCCTGTTAGCCTAGCTTGTTGTTTCTGTTTGCATACGAATTAACAAACAAGAGCTTTAGAGGTGCTGGCTCTAGTTCCGTACTGGACGCCCAGATATAAGAGTGGTATCAATCCTCTAATGTAAGTCTTGGCAAGAAAGAATATTTTCCAGACAGTTTCTTTAAGTAACAAACATTATTTTAGGACAGCCTTCGCAACAACACTTTTCTAGCTGCACCAATCAAACTTTACAACTCATCCAGGCTGAGAGATGGACAGCAGAGACATGGGGTGCTGAGATGGCTCCAGTATCTGCTTCAGCTTTGTTCATTTTAATCTTCCTCTCTCCCTCTCTCTTTCTGGATTACTATCTCTCCATAGATTACAATCATTAACTCTCTGTTTTACAGACAAAATGGGCTATAATTCATGCAATATCATGGACATTACACTACCTCCGATTGACATATGTAGTTACAGTCTCATACACATTTTTTTGGAATTGATATTTATTAGCACCACTGTTAACCTGTGTATAATATAACATCTGCATCTCATTATTAACTTGCTTACGTTTGTGATCATTACTGTTAACTTGTTTACTTTGGCATAGTCTCGATTTTATATTTATGTTAAACAGTTACATTTCATACACTGTGTACATTTGGTTCCAACCTTATTCATAATCTGTATTTTTTGTATATATACTTGTTTTATATTTATGTATGTTTGTATTGCACTAGAGATATTTGCACTCTTTCCTACGTTGTACTGCAACTGTTGCATACAATTTCCCTCGGGATAAATAAAGTTAAATCTTATCGTATTATATTGTAACATATCGTAACGTAATACATCTTATCTTATTACCTGAAATTAAATATGTATCTAAATGTCTTGAGCATTATTTCATACACTTATATTCCCTGTAATTCAGCCTTACATATATTATTTACTAACTTAGAAAACTTTCGGGATCTTGTGTTAAAAGTGTAGGTTTGTTTAATAGCTTGCACAATCTACAGCAGGTATGACTGTAAATGAGATTAACACGGACAGGTCTTATTTCACCAACATGATCCCTGTTTGGATATTCATAATCTGAACATACAGTGATTCCGCTAATTTCCCGCACACTGCCGTTACATAACCCACCGGGGTCAGATGGGACTAGGGAACAACCCCCCCCAACCTGCTGGGTTCCTGTGAATTACGAAGCCCAGCAGATTTCGAAGGTACACCAGCAGTGAACAAACACAGCCCGATCAATAGCTAAGTAGTGGAACGCCTGGCAGTCTCTGAGCCTCCCAGCTCGCTCCTCACACAGCACATTACGCTGGAGGAGGGATAAGATAAATCCCAGCAATGCATCTTATCTCAGCTATTTCACAGCTTCAAATTCCCTAAAAGAATGTTAGGTTGGGCGTCCCCAAAATAATGTTTGTGCTCAGTCAGCACTTGCAACAACTAGAACACAGAGAAGGTTTCCCTCAGGGGAATTGGTATAGTACAACAGCTGCTGGCAAGATAAATCTATCTGCTGCCTTGAAATCATAGGAAAGGGGATATTCTTTGGTGTGTGAAAGTTGCTAACAAAAATAGTAAAGGAGTAAAATAAATGATAGAAGTATTTTATCATTTTCAATACAAGGACTAATCCTCATTGTCCAGGCTAAAGAGTCTCACCAGTTTACCTAAACAGGATGAGTAGTACAAACTTTGAACTGAATTAAGTCTGAATGTTGTTTTTTAGTCTCATGTACTCTATTGCACAAGATCCAGCAGCACAAAACACACAGTGCAGACTTTGCTCTTTCGTTTTCTGATTTAAAAACACATAACTTTTTCAGTAATTACACAGGTGCCCACAAGATTTTTTTTTTATTACAGTGATGGACAAATATCTGAACACATTCTTCCTTGACAAAATAAGCCTGGTCACAGAGAGACTTGATTGGACAGTGTAGTATATGCTTTAAAAAACTACTTTTTTCTTGTTTCAGGTTTGTTTTAAGATTACATGTTACAGTAGTTTGTAGTTTAATGCTGTAATTATTATTCAGTGTATGCACGTAAATGTCTTTTACCCTGTTTAACCTACACAGAAAAGGGTATTATAGGTAACCTTAGGTAGCAGAGGCGCAACATGTAGTTGATTCAACATCCTGTCTGAACATTTTCAAATTTTTTCTGTTACTCCCACAAGTGAGCACAGCATTAAAAAAAAAAGTCCT